GTTGAGAGAAGTTGAATGCTAGCGGTTTAGTGGCAGAAATGTATCTTCGAAAGAATTTTCCAGATCAGTTGATTGTCCGAACAGCTTTAAAAAATGTGATTAAATGAATCCTTCAGCTGATCAACAAAGGGACAATCAGAGCAAGCTGGATTCCATTTTTTTGTAATCGAGATGGAAGAGGTACAGCCCTTTGCAAGACTTTCCATGTGAAGATTGATATTTTAGCAGGGATATTTGGATCCCAGATCGAACGGTAAGAGAGAGTGGCCGATTTCTTTAGTCTCACAAAATCATATGCGAATTTTAGATTGAAGTTCTCCCTGTTGTTATCAATCCAATGGGGGCCATCTTCCTCGATTGAAATTAAGGAACTAGCTGTTGATTGAATCCGACAAATTCTTTTCCAGGTACGAGAATCAGTAATTTTAAAATTCATTTGATCTCTTCTATAGTATTTCTTCCGTAGCAGCTTTGTCCATAATGATTTTCCTTCGCAATATCTCCACCACAGTCCACCACAGTTTAATAGAATATGCTTCTTGGAGAGAGGATAGAGATCGAAGACCAAGACCGCCTTCTTCCACTGGGAAACAAAATTTATCATATTTCAGCCAATGATGTTTATGAGTTTTAGAGTCCGAAGACCAGAAGAAATCTGCAAACTTTTTTTCAAGGATAGCAATAATACTCTTCGGTAGAGACATAGCTCCCAATGTATGTATCGGAATTGAATTCAGTACATGTTTAATGAGTAGCAGTCTGCCCCCAATGGAAAGAAATTTTTTTGTCCATCCTTGCAGTTTAGCATCAATTTTTTGAAGAAGATAAGAACAATACTGAGCTCTATTAATTCCTTTATAAATTCCATTTATATATGGAGCTCCCAAGTACATGAATGGAAGAATCATTTACCTGGATGAATGGAAGATCTTTACCTGTGATAGAAAGAATAGATTGAATTTTTTCCTTATAAGCCGAAGTTCTTTTTGAAGAACAATAGAAGGAGCTTTTGTTGAGGTTAACCAATTGTCCAGAGGTTCTTTGATAAAGTTGTAGGAATTCTTTAAACCGTTTGGCACTTTAACACCCCCATTAATGAAGATGAGGAGATCATCTGCGAAGGTGAGATGAGTAATTATATCACTTCCTCTAGTTGTCTTGTAAGGAGCAATTTTCCCATCAGACACCAGCTTCTTAAGACCCCTTGAAAAACCTTCCGAAGCCAAAATAAACAAGAGAGGAGAAAGAGGATCCCCCTGTTTAATTCCACGAGTAGGGCGAAATGAGCCATAGCAACTATAATCGCAATAGAAGAGCCCCAATTACTTACGGATTGTGGCTCAATTAGCAACATAGAGTGAGCAAGTTGAAAGAACTTTCTGGTTCAATCTCTAATAAATACACCTGCAAGAAGGAGAGCGAAAAATCTTAATTATGACTAAAGCTCGAACCGGATTAGACGGTCCTAATAATAGAGTCAGAGTCCCAATTTGCCATTCAATTTATGCTGAAACTTCGATAAAAATAACTGTTTAATTACGATAAATGTTAGAATATTTAAATATAATAACTTGGGCCCTTTCTTCTTAGTTTTGACCTCTCTAAACAACAAAAAGAACTGCGTTTAGGTAAGGGTGATGTATTTCTGCAGGTTGACCAACCAAAAAAACAAAGTAGGTCTTGGGGTCCATATTAAAATAATAAAAGTTGTTCTGGCTCCAATTGTCTAAATTTTTATACAATTAGATAAATACTCGACTATTGAATTTTTAATGTTCTTCCCATATAGTATAGTATCTTCATCCAAATTTATTTTTTACACCCTCTAATTTTTCTTTATTCAACTTGAGCAGAATAGTAAATAAATGCAAGTATTAGTAACATAGCAATGATATGTATTTTTCTTTATTCGCTTTAATTGCGATCTCTTAAGAGAATCAATGACTTTTAATGGTAATGATTGCTAAAATCATACATACTTCAAGTGCAATAATATTAATATATCAATTTTATACATGTAAATAAATAAATAAATAAATCAAGAAACAAGAATAAGCTAAAAAGAGCTTACCAATATCATAACAACTGTCACAATAATTTCAGAATGATGAAGCCAGCCAATACACAGACCTTATTATTAATTTTAATTAGAATTGGAACTTTAGAAATGGTTGGACCAACTAATATATTTTTTGTTTCTAATATGCATGCTTGGCCCTACTCCTTATAGAACCAACTCAGCTAATTTTTTTTTATTAGTAATTTCATCCATCATTTAAAGCTTCAAAAGGAATTTGCTTAAATGAAAATATGATTTACAAAACGCGATTAATTAATGGTAGTATTTCCTCCATAAAATATATCCACTCCGTCTCATTTTATTTGCATAGTTTAACAAAACGCGCATATTAAAAATTTAATCAATAAAAATTAATTTATCGTTTTTTGTGCTTAATAACTCATTAAGGAAATGTGTGGATTATATAAATTAGTATATTTTTATAATTGCTACTTAACGTGTCTGGGACTCATTAACGGGCTCCACATAGAAGCAATGCCGATTTAGCAAAAACAGCAGTGGTTTGAAACAGGAGTACGACAGTCCATCTAAAGAAGCACATACCAATCATCAATTCCTGAAAGTGAAAACGAGCAAGTAAGTATGATGGAATATTAAGGTGAAAATAAGTGACCCCAGTGCATGGTGGGTAGGTCAATGGGGACTTTTCATCATAGCAAATTTGATGCCCACATGCCCCTAAAAGTACATAGCAACAAGCACCATTCTTTGGTTTCATCACTATGATATAACATAGGATGTCTCCAACAATTATCAGTAGGCCTAATACTTAAATTTATCTTGATTTACCGGTTTTTTTGGTTGAATACATAAATTTTGACTCTAAAGTTTAATCGATTCTTCTTATGGCTTTTTAAATTTTGCGAAAATTCAATTATGATTTTATATTTTTATTTTCAATAACGTCTATATCTCTTATTAAAATGAAATAATTTTATTGAGTTCAATTATAATCCTGCACTTTCATGTTTTATTTTAACAAAAAAATATAATCATTATTGAAATGTGAAAGTATAAAATTATAATAAATCCATTGTAAAATTCAAAGACCACAAAGGTAATAGCTGGAATTACGAAGTTGAAGTTGAATTTATAAATTAGGCCATTATCATTATTGCCAATTTCAAATAAAGGACGCCTCGTCAGTGTCAATTTTTGAAGATAATGCACAGAACTTTCAGGAGATTTTGAGAAAGAAATGGACAAAACTACTGTAGAGAACAATAATATTATGTACCAATGCAGAAATTATTTTGTATCTTCCGATTTTGATTCTTTAATAAGGACCGTTAGATTATATTATAAACAGTAACTTGTCACCGGCCAAACATGTTAATAAATGTATATATTACTGCGGATCTTTTTTTCTCCCTTCATCAACCCTTCCAAAATCTGTCTACACAAAAACTCTATGATGGATTATCGTTTATTGCATCTCTTCATCAACTCTTCCAAAATCTGTCCACACAAAAACTCTATGATGGATTATCGTTTATTGCATCTCTTCATCAACTCTTCCAAAATCTGTCCACACAAAAACTCTATGATGGATTATCGTTTCGGCGTTTTAGATTATATTTATTAACAGTTAGTATCTTGTCACCGGCCAAACATTTAATAAATGGATAGATAATAATTACTGCGGATCTTTTATTTCTCCCTTCATCAACCTTCCAAAATCTGTCTACACAAAAACTCTATTGATGGATATATGGTCTTATTGCATCTCTTCATCAACTCTTCCAAAATCTGTCCCACACAAAAACTCTATGATGGATTATCGTTTATCGAATGCAATTAATACACAAAGCAGTAGCACAGTTTATAAACAAGTTATGAATGATAAACCAAGAAATCCCAACGCAAAACTAGTAAAGTCCACCATGAAGAAAGGTTTGTTTTAGAGAGGCCCCTATTAGCATGATAGGACTAGGGAAAAAAAAAGGGTTCATACGTCTATAACCCAAAAAAAACACAAAAACTCTATGATGGATTATCGTTTAGAATGCAATAATACACAAGCAGTAGCACAGTTTTAAACAAGTATGAATATAACCAAGAAATCCCAACGCAAAACTAGTAAGTCCACATGAAGAAATTGTTTAAGAGGCCCCTATTAGCCATGAACTAGGGAAAAAAATTCATAGCATAACCAAAAACCATATTTTCAAAAACAAAAACTCGTATTACAAACGGTAAAAGATTATAATTTCCATAAGAATCGCAATGTGGATAATCATTTCTATTCACCATGAATTAAAAACAAGAAGACGACATACCATGGCACCAACTTAGATTGATAAATCGGTTTATCAGTCAAGAAGAAGGCCAAGAAGAGGATTCAATTTACTTCATTTTTAATTGCCTTGTTTTTAGATTGATGTTTACCTCTCTCCTTTTGGAATTGCAAAAGCCACGCAAATTAGAGCAAGAACGAAGATGGAATAGAAAATGACAACATATACAGTTCTATGGAAAAATAAAAATAAAATTGATAAATTAAATTAAAAAATTAACCGGTTAAAGAAACCTATTGCAATAGATTTTCCTAACACGTGTAACTTCTCTACTAATACAGAAATCACAAATTGTGTATGGTAGTAAAAGCCGAAAGAAATTAACATGAAATGCTATAAAAGAAAAAGGTCTTTGTGGCAAACATATAATCTACTGTTGCAGTCAAGAATTAAAATTGCATCATATCACATTCTCCTCTCAACCTTTGTTGAACAAAAATCATAGAAATATGAGGCCACAGGCTATGTGTTAAAATCAGGGTTCCTCCTAAAAATAAATAAATAGTGGCCTGCCAGCTTATTCTGTATGTCATCAAATCATGCTAATTTCTTACAACACAACCGCATATCAAGGTTTGTGTCTCGTCGAAAACAAACTATGAATTAACAAATCAACAAATGAATTTTCTAGGTCTAAATATTGTGTAATGCATATCAAAAGTTTGCACTTTTACTCATCTTTCTCAAAATAGTTAAAACTATTTAAATTATGAAACAGTTCAACTGGTCTTAGTGCCCAGACCAGAGGAAACATGTCGGTTAAAAACTAATTACCTTTTTGTCTCTTTTGTTTGAGACATGAACAGAAAAATTAAGTCTCTCATTTTCTGAACCTAGATATTGCTAGTTCTCATACTCAAAAAAGTCATAATCAGATGTCTGAATGACTTTCAAGTAGCTATGGCTGAGTTCATCTCATTGAGAATACGGTAATATTTGTGGTGATCTGATGTGTTTCCAAATCCAGGAATGAAGTCTGAAAAGAATCTCAGGACAGCTGCAAGAAGCTGAGAATCATTGGAAGTCAAAGCAGCTTCGAGAAACAATGAAGGCCGGACAGTACTGACCTGAAAAAGGAACTGAGCACTTAGGAACTAATTACATCTAATATTTCTTTTGTAAAACATCACGAGAACATTAGCTGAATAAAATGTGAGATAATAAAGAAATTTCATGCAAAAAAGGGAGAAAAAACCACTGGACTGGATTTATCGAAACAACACAAGATTGGAACTGCCATTGCAGCAATTTATTACCAACATTGCCATTACAACAATTTATTACCGCCATTTCGTTGAATTATGGAAGACGACATAAAATAACTAAGAAGAAAATTGATAAGAAATAAAGATGATAATGCAAAGAATATTTTGGGTTTTCAGTGAAGCACTAACTCTTTCAATGCTTCTGCACAAAAAATAAAAAAATAAAAAACAAAGAGAGAGAGAGAGAGTAGGAAACTTTCAATTCATCAGTAAAAACTGCTGATGAAATAAACAGAACTTGGATAGCTAGATCATGTATACAAGAGTTGGACCTTGACCTTTTTAGTGCCAATTGTTAAATATACCACCTTTTGTAAAGCCTGACATTTTAGATGAGTTAAATAGTATTTACCTTATGCTTCCTTGCATAACGCAAGGCTTCAAGATAATATCCATCTTGCACTAGCAGCACTACATAGTCATGATGTAAAGAGAGATGTCTCAGCATATCCAGACCCAGCTTCCTGATTTGGCTATTCTGACGGCCTGACTCTAGAAGCTGCATTGCTACTTCTTTTGAGGGCTCAAGAACCTGTAAAAAAATAACTCTGATCATAAATAACAATAAGAATAATAATAATAATAAAAAAACCTAGAGTTTTTCTTGACTTAATAAGCACACTTTTAAAAGACATTTCAAAACCTTGTTTATGACAAACAATGTAAGTTCCATATATCGCTCATTGCGGGCTAAAACTTGTATCGTCAACACATAGATGTTTGGATGAGCTTTAATCTTTTCCAAATTTGTGCTGCAACATTGAAAAAAAAAAAAAAAAAAAAAAAAAAAAAAAAAAAAAAAAAAAAAAAAAAAAAAAAAAAAAAAAAAAAAAAAAAAAAAAAAAATACACCACTCAGAGAAGCAAACTCAAATAATAAGAAGAAATAAGATAACTTCAATCAATGTACAAAGTATTTTGAAGCCATCTTCTTGGACCACTTCCCTGGTCCAAGCCATCCAATAGATACATAGATCATTACAGATGCAAGGCCTAAGATAGTTTGCTAAGGTTTCCTGGTTCACAAGACCAAAGAAAGCCACTAGTTTGATTATATTTCTGAATGGATCCATCAAGTAAGAGTTATTTTAATGTGATATCTAATAAACCAGCAATTATTAAAATTCTATTAGCAATTTTACTTGGTTATACAAATTTATTGGGATAAGAGGCAGTGCATATTTCCGTTATTCCAGTTGGCCTCATTAATACAACCATGATGGACTCAAGTTAATTCATTTAATGCAGGTTGCTTTGCAAAAGCAATGGTTCAGATGTAAATCCATGAAAGCCAAGTTAAAGTGGAGTATTAAATCAAGTAAGAGTAGAAACCATATCTAATCACAGTGTTAGCAGTGCAAAGGCTTGAATTGTTATAATCAATAGCACACCTGCGGAGGAATTCAATAATGATGGCAACCAAGTAAGACGGATCTCCCACCATCTCTTCTTCAACTGGAGCAAAAACAAAGCTATACATCTCATCAGGTGAAATTGCTGGTGAAGCAAGTTGCAATTCCTGCCACTCAGAAACATTAGCATTTAGAGGGTTGTTTCTCGGTCCAGGACGATGAGGTTGAGAAGATGATGGCTGGACTTCGGAGCTAGCATTTTTAGCACCCAATAAGGTCTCCCCGTACACCTTCTGAAGACCACTCATGGTGGTTTTGAGTGATTCAGAATGTGCTTCACTTTCCGAGTCTGAAGTAGAAATATTTGGAGACTTATTGACTGATTCATTCTCAACACCAACAGTAGGTGTATGTTGGTTTGATTTTCCAAGTATATCAATCCCACTCGCAGATAAAGTGGCACTGGGAGTGGAACTACTTATATGTGCCCTGCTGGAAGCTGAAGTCCTCTCCACTTTTACTCCCTTGAGATAGCTTCCTGTTTTGATTGAGTAAGAGTAATTAGAAACAAGGACATCTATTGCCCTGGCAACCATGGACACTGGTCTCCTTTCCAAGATGATGGTACGTGTTATTGCCAGGCACAACTGTTTAGCCTGAAACAGCAGAAGTATACAATAACCACATGTTAATCATTAAAAATTCATAACCATCGAGAGCACTTTATGGGTACATAAAGTTTAAATCATTCTGTAATTGATTTCTTAATACACAGGCCCCATATTAAAAAATTGAAAGAGTTAAAAAACTTTCTCCACCTTGTTAGCTTCCAACTTCCGTCGCTGCAGGAACTCTAGTACTGAAGGAACTTCAGAGCTACTGGCAGAAATTGCCTGGAAGGAAAGAAAGAGGTTAATTACACAATAGTACTTATACTGCACAAAAACATGCAATAGAAAACTGACAAACTTACCTCTAAGTCTAGATGAATCTTCCACAACAAATTACTGGCAACATCACATATTAGGTCAGGAACTAAAAATGTCCAGTCATCTCCATAAATGGTTGTTTCATGATCACTTGTATTGGCCTCTGCACTTTCACTATCTTTGCTACTAGATCGAGAGTAAGGAACATTTGACCTAGGGAAACCTCTAAACAGTAGAGGAAGTGGAGCAGATATGGGTGCTCGAGAGTCGGCAAATATGTCATAGAGTATAACAACCTTTGCATCCACTTGATGAATGAGCAGTACATTATCGACTACACTCACAGCAATCTTGCTTGAATATATTGGCAAGGAACCCTACAAAAAGCATTGCACCAATTCACATTCTAGCAATTTTACTAATTGCATTAAGTTTTGGGTTTCTAGTAAATTGATTTTTTCCCCTTGGAAAACATAATAAAGGTGCATTGCAGATCAAACGACCCAAAGCATCAGCTGCGTGTACAAATGCCAGTGCATCAATGCCTAGCAAAATTCAACTCCTCACCTATTTAATAGACTGTAGTAAAGCATGCTGCTCAACCCTATAGTAACTGTTCAAAATTAGTTCGGTCTGAGCTAAGAAAAAATTTGGAACAAAAAATTTTGCCCCTTCAGCACATAACATTTATCTAGTGGTAGCCCAACTACAAAAGAGAAGCTATTTACAAGAGACGGACTTGGCGAAAACACAACATCAACAGAAAACTCTCAAACATACTAAAAACTGGTGGTCCTTGTCATTAACAACATTTTAAAATGGCCGCCTTAAGCTAACTATCAGGTAGCGAAAGGGAGGTTTTTCCCAACAATTACATTTTATTTGCAACAAGTCTTATCACCAGTACTAGAGATTAAGCATCCACCCTTAGCAGAGGCCTGAGACGAAAAGAGTGGTGAGCAATTTAAACCAGGGATTACCTGTTGTACAACAGCATCGCGATAAAACCGATATGAGTGAAGTAGCATTGCTATCCTATCAACTTGCAAACAGTATATCCTCCCATAGCTGAAAAATGTTAATAGTTTGACAATTATTATAGGTGTGACTTATGCATAATAGTGAAAGAAACCAAACCAAAGAAACTTACACAGTCACAATATGGATATCTTCAGCATCTAGGACAGGTTTACTGTTAGCCTCAGACTTGGCCGTTGCCATTTCAAATTTTGGCAAGCGAACAATACCTGCAGATGAAAGCTGAAAAGAAAAAATAGCAACCTTGTCAGAGTAATGAAAGAACCCAAAAGTTGTAGAAATTGCAACATGGTTGTCAAGAAGCATTAATTGATAGCCATATCAGGCATCACATAACTGCTTCCCTAATTCATGCCTCAATGATAAGTGGTCATTTTCATTTATTGAAGAAGAAATTTTATTGAGAAAGAATAAAGAAAAGTACACCATGGAGGAAAGACTCAACAACCAACAACATTCAAAGTGAATACTAAGTAAAAACTGATACCCTCAAGATAATGCTCAAAAGAAACCTTCCTCAAAGTTCTAGAAGCATATTCCAATATAGAAGGCAAATACCAACTTATCCCAGGGAAAAGAAAAAAAAAATCAAAAGACAAGCTATCATTTCTTGAAGATGCAACCATCTGGACTCCATAATTTGCAATGTTCTTGACATTAATCCATATAGATCACTTAAGTGCATGTTGTTGGACCATGAAGGAAAAAAAAAGACGATTGGAAAATGGAATCGCAAATGATTATTAATATAGTTTTTCTGGCAGACTAACCATAGGTGAAGAGGATGTAGCCAAGTTTAAAATGAACTCAGTAAAACTTGAGCTAACAGTGATGGTTGCAGACACACCTGAAATCCAGTGATTGTCTTGCATTGCATTCCTGAAGCAAGAAGAACCAAGCGACTCTCATGTGTATAGATATACCAACTGACATTCAGTTTCCTTGTCTCCACCAAGTCGAGCAATTTTGACTCGTGATCATAGGCAAGTAAATCGAGCCCACTGAGGTTAAAACTCAAATTTAGTCAAATGAATAACAATAGATGTTGGAAACGTATAAAAAGGAACTGTATCTAAACAGAACAAAAAAATAATAATAACAAAAGAAGAAAAAGGAGCAAGTATTACTGCAGGGACCTTTTATTTATCTTCTTTGGGACAACAAACCAATACAGGTTATCTTCAATTTGTTGTCAGACAATATTTTTTCAAGTTGATTGAGTAACAGAAGTTCGTAGAAGTTTTTTAATATGGGTTACTCAAAAATTCTCTAACCTACTACTTCAATGTTGATTTCTAACTGTATGTTCCACATTCCCAGAAAGAGTTTAAACCTTAAGGAACATTTTCCTCTGTGCAAAAGAACGTACGCCAATTAAAACCCAGTAAAATACGCTAAGAAGTCAATAAAGGAATGGCAAAATCAATTCCTTAATATTTACATAAACAAAAAGAAAATTTTCTCCATACCTCGTTTTCACAAGTACTAAATCACACAGTGGACAGTCAGTCCAAAAGAATCCTAGTATACTCTCTGACTCTGCCCTGCACTTGTGACTGAAAGTTTCACCAGTTTCTCTATGCCAAATCTGTATCTCTTGACTAGACCGTTGGATTGCTATTAGCTTTGTGTCTAAAGAATATCGAATAGATAAGATTGGCCCTTCAGTTATTGAATCAGATGTAGGAGCAACACAAGGATCAAAAGGAACGGTCTTCCAAGAAAACACCTGGATAAAAGAAAAAAGATGGAAAAGATAGCAGTATACAAGACCTTTTAGTTGAAACAAAATTGACTTATTGTCACATTTAAATATGTAAACAAATCATAATCTAAAAAATCTTAATGCAATTCAACTTTTCATGCCTGAAAGATTTTAAGATCACATTTACCTCATTAGCCGTTGGGGCAAGTAGCAACTTACTCCCATCATCATAATATAAACCCCTTGACCCCGGAATGCTACATCGCAAAGGTGGAGATTGAATATAAACATGTGATAGCCCACCAGACCCACTAAAACCAACAGTAAGCTGTGAACTTGATGCTTTCCCAGACATTCCTAAGTTCTTTGCCTCTCAAGCTTGAGATTTAGACAGAGTATATGGCTAGCACTGAATTGAGCAATCCTGAGCCAGAGTCATATGCTTTAAAAATCCGTAAAGAAGAATTAAATCAATGGAGAAGAAAGAAATGTTTCAGTTGTGAATCAAATAAAAAAAACTATTAGATGTAAAAGAGCATCATAATCCCAGAAAGACAAAGCTGCATTTTTTAGCCAGTATTTAAATGAAGCCTTTACCAATGTATTCCCCACTACACGCTGAGAGGCTAAAATGGTGCTTACTTCAGTAGATGCCTAAAATAACAATGACAAATGCCTAAGCCTTTCCTCGTATCTGCCAATCAAAAGCAAGGAGAAGATATGAAAACATCTTCATAAGAATACAAATGATAAGAATTTTCCCTCTTCTTCTTCTTCTTCTTCTTAATTCTTTCTTTCTAACAATTTTAGGGTCTCACATGCAAGTAGGGTTGTTGCTTGCTTTGAAATATTATAATATAAATTGAAATTTCAAACTGATTTTTACTTCAAAATTATGGAATTTAAAATGAAATGTACTTTTTAAAGTATTGGTAGATGGAATATGGAATTAAGATATAATAGAAAATTCCATATTACAGTCTATATAGCAAAATTTTATCTTATTATTATTTTATTTGAAGTACACATTTGTATAGAAAATTAAAATATAATAAAATATTACCTTATATATTTTAACAAAATATTTTCAAAATTTAATATAGAGAAAAAACAAATCCTATTTAATTCTAAAACTAATAGTATAATGGAATACTAATTAGTAATTAATATAGGTTATATATAGGCGAACATATTGGCAACTCGAGACAAATCAACAAAACAAAATCGACTTCACACAGTTACAATTTATATGTGTTCCCCATCAACCATCTTTGATTCTATGGTGCATTGCTCTTGAGTTTGAAGTTGTCCAGTTATCAGGAAAATGTACTTGTGCTTATATATATATATATATATATATACCACCTTTGTATAGGAAAATTAAAAAGTATAAGTAACATATTACCTTTACTATATTTTAGACAAAATATTTTCAATAAAATTAATATAGAGAAAAAACAAATCCTATTTAATCTTCCCTTTAAAACCTAATAGCTCATAATGGGTAATACTTAATTAGTAATTAATATAGTCTTATATATAGGCGCGACATATTGGGCAACCGAGACAATACTCAAGCAAAACAAAAAATCGACCTTCACACGTTTAATTTATATGGTTTCCCCTACTCCAAACCATTTTCTTTGATTCTCTATAGCGTGCATTTGCTACTTGATGTTTGCTGAAGTCGTCCCAGGTATCAGGAAAATGTACTTTGCTGCTATATCATATGTACTATATATATACTATATATAGTACTTGCATCCTTTTCTTTTTACCTATACTGTTTATATGAATAATTATCTTTTTTCTTTATTACACTTCCTCTCACATTATCTTCCTCTCCCAAAACCAGCAGACAAGCATTCATTTCTATTGATTATGTCTTTATCAGTAACATCATTTTCCTTTTACGATTCTCAATGACTCTCTCTTTCCCCTCCAGCCCAGCTAAATCGATCAATCTCCTACATTTACCTGTTATTCTTTTTACAAAAGCACTACCATATACCTACTTTAACTTAGTTTTTTCTATTTATTTTAGTTGATTTTTAATAGGAAATGTAAACATCACAACTCACTACACACAAGTAACACCATTCCATCACTTACTTCCATCACATCGGACAACCACATAATCAAAATTCACCGATCACATCTACACTTGAACGCTTAAGGCCCCGCGAAACACCAGCCTAATCATACTTTATTTTCTACACATATATATATATATATATATATATACTGCTCTGTCTTTTTACTATATGTTTATGTAATATCTTTTTCTTTTTACATTCTCAATTATCTTTCCTCCTCCCACCAAGCAAAGCATTCATTCTATTTGATTATGTTTTTATAGTAACATCATTTTCCTTTTACATTCTCAATGATCTTTCTTTCCCCCACCCAGTAAATCAATCATTCTAATTTCCTTTTTTTAAAAACATATATACTATTTAATTATTTTTTTATTTTTCATTGTAAAGAATAACTAACTATAAATTAAATTTCATAATCACTTCTAGAAAACAAAAAATAGATTATTACTGAACTAAGAAAACAGTAATATACTTTATTTTTAAAAAAAATGGCGTTAGAATCGATCAAAGGACAAGTACATAGAAACCATGAAACAATGACCAGCACTAGCAAGAAGCTAATTAGACTAGAAGATGGCCTTATGATTAATAGCATATAAAACCGCATATGCGATAATTAGATCGTAGAGAATAATTGTCCACTTTTTCAAATTTTCTTTTATGCACACCCTCTAGCACGAAATTAGTTGTCCTTTAAAATTGGTATTCCATGTTTAATTTCCTGGAATTTAAAAAAAAACCAAAATATCAATTTGTTTCTTTATTGCAATTTAATTATGTTATCTTAGTATTTATAATTTAATTTAAAACAAATATAGCAGTTATTCCTTATTAAATTAAAATTTTTATATATTAAAATATATCGCAAAAGCTAGAATTTCATTTATGGTCGAGAAATTAAAAATTGTGAAGTTATGGAATTCCAAACCGAATTTCAATAGAATGGTATGGAATGAAATTTTAAATTCTAAAAAATATTTGGAACAGAATGGAATGAAATTTTAAATTCCAGAATATTTGAAAATAAAATAAGAATGAGGATCATTCTATTCCACATCAACCAAATATACGCTACATGTAAACTTAATTTCTTATCAACTAAAAAAGTATGCTAACCGTATTCTGCATGCAATTCTTCAGTGCGAGAAATTCTTTCAAGCACATATCACGCTCAATTTCTGGAACCCTTGCTGCAACACAACTTCCATAATCTTTTGCCTGTAAAATAGGAACTCAATGAAAATTTTGCATCATGGAGACAAGAAGACTTCACATGTATCAAACAGCTGATCCTGGTATGCATCTTTCTGAACACTCATTTGATAAAGCAAAAACATACTGAAATATAGGCCTATAAATTAGTTCATTCCCAATAGTAAAGGAGAAACTTTGTGGTATTATAAATCCAAATGATTAAAGAATTTTTTCTAACAATTTGTTCTAGAATGGTAGAAACTAGAGAGAGTTCATATGTGGGAAATGAAAAAGGCAAAAAAGAAACCTGTCATGCATGAACTGAAATTCTTCATGCATACCTTTGCAACTATAAAGCAACTTATTAATAATTGAAAATTATTTGAAAAAATGGAATTAATTCAAAATCATTAAGTAAATGAAAAGCATAAAGTTTCAAAGAGTCAAACCATAATAAAGGTCTTATCTTTTCAAAATTTTTCATTTTTTAATGTGTTTCCTATATCTTATGCTTGTAGTCAAATCTTTTACAACAAATCATTCTACCTTCAGTTTAGACCATTTCAGCAATATTAGCAGACTTATATATGTAAATTTTGGAGGTGTAATTTTCCTGTTTTGCCAACTATAATGAAGCCTAAAAGTTTTAGCAGACTTATTTAATAGAAGCATCACTTCCTTGCCACTGATGAAGCCTAAAAGTTTTAGCTGTTAGGAAAAGACACACCTTCAAGTCACTAACTTGAATCTTATCAACAAACCTGGACAGTACAGTTGACTAAAATGCGCTTAAGCGTTGAAGTAGTATTCCTTTCTTTCATGTCCACAGAATGCCTGATAGAAAACGCAAACCTAAATTAAATTAAAAGTTATCAGCAACCATTTCACAAGGACAAATGGCAATATTTATCGAATTGCAATTAAGGGTTAATGTGCTGATACAATCATCAATAATAACAAACTAAAACAGCTTTTTACCTTTTACCATCAATAGCAAAATTTTCCTCAGTACACAACGATAACCCACAAATTTCATTGAAAGTTTTAAAACACTAAATTTATAAATTACAATACTAAGAAGTCACTCTAAATTAATGAAGTCACTCTAAATTAATGAAGTCACTCCATTGGACAAATAGATTGTTGTTCAATTCCTCAATTTATATCAGTAGCCAAAAAAAAAAAAATGATAGGTAGCAGTTCATTGGAAATGATCAAAAGTTATCACTAGGTTCTCCTCCTCAGTCAATCTTTTCAATTAATCCTATTGCTATAAACAGCTAAAACCCTAATGCCCAACATGCTCGATAAGCAACTACAATCTTCAGCATCCACAACTAGTTTAACTAATCAAATTTCAGGCGCCAATTAGCTTCAAAGAATCATAACATCTCCAACAATATAAAATGAAATTAACTTTAACAATCGATTAAAGACTCAGAACAGATTAGTTTTTCCTTCTTATGAAAAATAATCAAGAGGTGTAATAACAATTTAGTAAAGAAATAAATCTAATTATGCGAAGATTGAGAGATTTGATCAGCATAGGATTGTGAGAAAGCGAGGGAAAATACCTTGAGAATGGACCATTGATTTTGATTGTCCGCTTGGCTACTGGGAAATGTTAATTCTACAGTAATTCATCATTGGCGAGCAGCGGAATCCAACTAACAGTCAATTGAAGAATTCGAGACACTGCTTCTGCATTCACATTTCATGAGGAACGGGACTGGCTGCCACGTGCTTAATCGCGCGTGTAGAAAAGCTGAGCCTGGGCCTCTTCGTCTGCAGTGTCAGTTTAGGGCCGTTAGTTTGAGTTTTCGGTCAGTTTGGTTCACACCGAGCCAAACAGAAGCAAACCAAATAAATTGAAAAATTTTAAAAATAAAAATCGAATTAAAATAAATAGTGCAGAGAAATTAACTGAACTAATTCAATATGATCGGTTCGTCTGTTTTTAGCTATTTTTTAATATTTTTAATTTTTAAATTTACTTTTAATGGTTTTTTTTCCTTCAAATCATTGCATGTTTTTCAGTTTCAGTAAGAAAGTTGATAACAACAAAATACGCATGCACTTTATCATTTGTTTTAATTAAATTTAGCATCATTTTGAATGTTAAAATAAAAATAAACTCCATTTTAAATAGTTTCCTCTCTTTTATTTTGTTGGCACATGAGCAACATCAATATTTACTATTTTAAGCAAAAATGAACCAATTATGATCCATTTGGCACCTAATCAATGCAAAGAAATCCCTTGAAGTCTTGTTGCTTATGAAGTCCAAATGATGCTTTTAAAAGCCAAACAAGTATAAGGTCCAACGCACATTCAGCCAAAGAAGAAAGAAAGAAGGAGAATTGGTCAACGTGGAAGAATGTGGACCAAGTGCGAAGCAACTTGTGAGATGATCTTCTGACAGATCGTTTGGAACAAAAATGATGCAATTTTGAAGGAACATTGCACCTACCTTAATGAACAACTCCCCTTACCATTTTTTATGATTTCTTTGGGTGATGAAAACAGCTTTTTAAACTCAACTTGTGCAATGACGTGGACCAATAAGAGCCAAGCAAAGAATCCATACAAAGAGCAAAGAAAAAGAGTTGAAAGGGTTGGACACTCTTGGCACTTCATTGTGCCGCACGTGCAAGAATAAAGAGAGTGAGCCGATCAGAGTAGAGAGAGTAACAAAAGGAGAGATAAAGCCTAGAGTTATTACACCTCAGACGGGCAGGAGCTACTTCGCAAACTTGGACGTAGACAACAAGGCCAACCAATCAATAAATTCCAAAGTCTGTTTTTAGCTTTTTATTCTTTTTGTATATTTTATTTGTGTTGATATATTTGTAATAATGCTGGACTAAATATCCAGATCTAGTCATGAGATTTTTCTATTAATTTAAAATTCAACTTTGAATAGTTTGCTTTGTGTTTAAATGCTTAAATTCCTAATTTAATATGTTTGAACTTAATGCATATGAATATGTCAGTACCTATATTTGCATGATTTTAGATCTGTTTAAATAGATTGAGAGATTGACAAATTAGATTGGACCATATTAAACGTATAATTTTAGACCTAACGATAGGCTAAATTCTTTGAGGGTAACAATAGACTAATTTTAGATTGGATCATATATCGGCCCGATTCTTGTTCACTATAGATATATTTTCAATAATAACAGCAATATTATTATCCCGGCAACAATATAAATATATTTTCTGAAAATGTTCGTAAAAATTAACGATCGTTTATCATCATGCTCTCAGGTTTTCTGTAATATTGAATGTTTCTGTTTTTATATTATAGACAAAAGATGAATATAAAATTATATATAAAAAATTAAATTAATGTGTGACATAATTTTGTTTTTTAAAAAAATAAGACAAACTAATCTTTTATAAAAGTTAAAAAATAAAGTAATGAATAGATCAACTCAACTACATGGATAAAAAATAGGCTCGAATTTGGAAGAGGTTTTCGAGTGGGAGTGACTTTTTACCATATGAAGACCATGACCCTCTATTTTCAAACTCTCTGATTTTAATTTCAAATTTGATAAAGTAATCCTCTTTAGACAATTTGATTTTTTTACAGAATTAAGAAAATGATCGAAACATATTAATTTTTTTAAAAATATATGATAAACTATTTAAATTATCCTTTTTAAAATTAAAAATTCTCCATCAATATTGTTAAAATTCTAAATGAACACTTAGAATGAAACAATATAAAATGTCCATTTGTTGTTCTTAAAGTGTAACAGAGAGAGTAATATTTAGTCATAAATAACAAATTAATTAAATTAATCATTGAAACTATTTTACCCTTATTTTTAAAATAATAAATTAATTCAAAATTTAGGAACTAAATAATACATTTTCCAATTTTGATAGCGTACCTTTTCCAAATTCAAATGCTAAAAAAAAAAAAGGAAAAAAATCAGCAGCCATTGAAGGTGACTCAACACTCAAGTCAAGTCCACCGTCACTGTGTAACGTGGCTTTTACTTTTTAGTCATATCTCCATTACTCCCATCGCACTTTTGAAAATCTAGCTCAACTTTCCCAGTGAATTTATGGTTCTAAATTGCGCATAAAACAATATAGCAACAAGTCTTTTCTTTTTCCTTCGTCTCTCTTTCACAAGTTCAAGAATTTCTTACCTGCAATGGCCAAAACCCTCCCATTTCTCTATTTTCTCTTCACCATTGCCTTATTTTCACTTGCCACAGCAAAATCAAGCCGTTTGTCAAGAATTTTATCTCCGGCAACGCTTGGCCTCAAAAAAGAGAAGCTAAGCCACCTCCATTTCTACTTCCACGACATAGTTAGTGGTCGAAACCCGTCGGCAGTCAAAATTGTCGAACCACAATCGAACACCTCCGACACAATGTTTGGCTTGGTGGCGATGATCGATGATCCATTAACTGTTTCGCCGAATCTGAGCTCGAAGCTCGTAGGTAGAGCGCAAGGCATGTACGCATCTGCGTCGCAAAGTGAAGATGGTTTACTAATGGTTTTGAATTTCGCTTTTATGGACGGAAAATTCAATGGAAGTGCACTTAGCGTTTTGGGTCGGAACTTGGCGCTTGCTCCCGTTAGAGAAATGCCGATCGTCGGTGGCAGTGGTGTTTTCCGATTTGCCCGTGGTTATGCTCAGGCAAGAACTCATACATATAACCCAAAAACTGGAGACGCTGTCGTGGAGTATAATATCTATGTTTTCCATTATTAATTGACATAATTAATGTATTTCCTTGCTTTCTTTTTTTTTCTTCCCCAAGATAGAATAGTATTTAATCATATTTTTCAATAATAAAATTTTTATGCCAATCTACAAGATGATCCGAGTGAAAAAGCCTCAATTCATTAAAATAAGTGGTCGATTGGATTTCCGCTGGCAGCGCTTACCTTGAAACTTTTCACCAAATATATATATATATTTTTTTATTGAAGAGGAGAGCCACCAAATCAAACGGAGCTCGAGACAAAAGATGAGTTCCTACGGGAGAATTTCTAGCATACTTGAAAAAGCAGGCAGCACTATAATTAGCCTCTCTATAGACATGGCTAATAACACAATTCCAATTTATCTTGGATAATATTATTTATAACCAGAATAGGCTGTTGGACACCTCCATTTGATGCCATCTTGCCTCGTATAAGCTGAATTACTGTTTCATTATCACATTCCTCCTTGATATGGGAGAATCCCATCTATTTGGTGATCTCAAGTCCTGGAAGATGGCCCATAACTCTGCATTAGGTATAAAATATGTCCCAATGACAATTATGAAGCCGTTAATCCATTATCCTGAGATGTCCCTGATAAGGCTCTTCCGTGTGCCATTTGCTCTTCTTAATTGATCAAACTATTTATCAATGAAAATCGAAAATCAAAATATGAGGAAAAATTTTTCAATAATAATAACAATAATAAAAATCTAAATTCATTTTTCAATTTTCGAATCACAAATGAAAAATTTTGTTTCCTCTATGGCAATGGGCCTGCCTTTTAAACAGACTCAATGGCCCAAGATCTACTCATGTTTGAATAAATCACTATGATAGGCCTCTTAGAACTTTGGTCATGTTGCACAGTAACTTTTAAATTAGGTTTTAACATTTTGATTAAGTTAAAACTTTATCTCTGTTAATGATTATAGGATTTCGTAACATAACTTTTAAACATAACTTTTAAAGTTCGAAAGCATTTATTTTTTAATTAATTTTTTCTTTTTCTTCCGAATTTAGCTAATGTTTTTTTTTTATCATTTTAAGTTAAACAATTAATTAAAGAATTATTTTACTAAATACTTCTAATTTAAAACGCTATATAAATAGCTAAAAGCTAATAGAATAATTGACACCTACTAAAACAAACTAATATTGTTGAACAGTTCAAACTAATAAAACACTAACAGCTACTAAAACAACTAATAACTAATATTGTCGAAATAACTAATAATGCCGAACAGTACCTATAAGTAAACTTATATTTTGCGGCCTAACAGCTCATGATAAATTTTGCAGCCTAACAACTCATAATAAATTTTAAAAAGGAAAAATTACTATTATGTACATATATATCTATATATTATATCGAAATCCAATTATTCCGTTTCTGTTTTTGTACAACTGGTTTTAAAAGTCTTTGTCTTTTAAAAACCATTAAGCTAATAAGTTACAGAAATGAATTAGTTGCAAACATTTATCATCTATCTATAATATCTATCTATTTATAACATATATAAATATATGAATATGAAATTATACATAAACTGATTAAAAAACATTGATATGATTTATATTTAATAATTAAAATTTATTTACATTATTATAAATAAACCGTGAAATTTTAACCATATATATAATGAAAGTTGAACAAAGGAAAGTTTTAAGGCGTTCTCTTTGTTCAGCATTCCATTTTTCTTTTTTTAGAAAAATTTAAGTTTTTTCTTTATTTTTTGTGTTTTGATTGGTCAAAATAATTATTTTTTTTTTCAATTTAATTTAATATAGTAATAATAATTGATAACTTTTAAAACCTAATCTAATTCAACCAAACGTTGCTTATTTTTTATTCAGCCAAATCAAAATATTGAATTCCAAAGTCAATCATATGATTGTTCAAACTCAGGTAAAAAGCCTACGGCTTCCTTCAGGAATTAAAGTTTGTCTTCCCTAATGTAGAACGAATCAATCGCGGTGGTCAGGTAGCCATTTCCCCACACAACTAGACTCTTGATAACTCTTAAATTGGCCTTTTGAGAATTTGGTCAGTTGGTAACATATGCACATCTGTTTCCAGTCTTTCTTTAACTTTTTGTTGCATATGATTGAAAACTAGAAAGCAGACATTGGACCTTTGTTTCTGTGATAATTGTTTATCCATAATTTAATTTAACTGATATTAAAGGATAATTAATTAATTTAGTTAGTTCTTTTAATTCGTCTAATCAATTTTATATTAACTGCATATAAAGGATAATTAATAATTTAGTTAGTTCTTTAATTTTCGTCTAATCAATTTTATATATAATATATATATATACTATATTATAATATATATAATATATATATTATATTTTAATTTCAACTACCCAAAATTGCAAAACTCTATTTGAGTATGGTGATGATTGTGATAGATTCGAAGAAACTGAAAGCAGAAAAATGACGTTCATGTCTCACTTTCATTCTTTTAGGTTTATATTTTGACATGTGTTGTATGGTTGTTGGAAACCTAATTATAGATGACTTTGTAACTTTCCTACTAAATTTTGGACATTATTTATTGTTGCACGTTTATTATTTAATTATAATATTTTGATAGTTAAATAAAAAAAATTATTTGCATTATTTTTATAAATTTTTATCTCTACCTCAAACTCTAATATAATTATAGTGTTTAAATATGACTTTAATACATTCTATTAATTAATCTAGTCAATTTACTCTCTTAAACACAAATTTAAATTTAAAGTATTTGGCAAACAGAACCAATTTAATTTCGATTTTATTACAAAAAATTAACAAAAAAATATTATTAAAAATATTTAATAGTTAAATATTTAATAGTTTATTGATGAATTAAAAAATTATTTATTTTTATGAGAATTTATTCTCTAATTTAAACTCTAAACTCTAATATAGTTATAATGTTTAAATCTTGATTCTGATACATTTCAATTAAAATTTTAAATTTTCAAGTATTTGAAAACAAAATCAATTTAGGGATTTTTTATTTAAAATGTTAACAAAAAAATATTAATAAAATGTTTAATAGTTTAATTGATATTTTATTTATTTTATGTATATTAATTATTTTAATGATGTTAGTCTTTTTAAACATTCAAGTGAGTAATAAAAGAATGATAATTAAAGTAATGAAGATAATGCATTGTCACGACCCGACTCCGTGGGGCCGGACTCTGGGCACTAGGGCCCAGGTAAGCATAAGGCCCCCGAGGCCGTAGTAAGGCCTAAATTTACTCAAACTTATACATTTCATTACCATTTTATAAAAAAGTAACGCCATTTACGACAAGACCCAATTTAAAATGCACAACCCTTATAAACTGCGGGAGGTTCAATATATTTCTGATAATTAGAATAATTTATACATCCAAAATTAAATAAAACAAAACAATATTAAAGTTTACATTTATAACTCTGCTGAGAAGAGTGCAGAGCTTCAGTCGAATCAACTGTTCCTAGTTACCTGGGAGCGTTTGGAGAGAAGGGTGAGTTTTACAACTCATGCATTAATAATAAATAATTGCCCACACCACATACAGTCAAGCAAATGCACCCTAGTATACTTGAAATGAAACACACAACAGTTCAATCCAATATGGACATTACATCAGCACCCACAAACAATATCACCTTCAAATAATCACATCACGTTGGAAATTAGTCAGTGGCGTCACCCTAAACCCCCGACGACCGTTCCTCTCAAACAAGCCCATCCTCTCAAACATGTGCCACCCGGGGAGCCAACCCCCATATCTGCGCCGACCGGTCTAATCCTCACTTGGGACCAGTCCTCTCAATATTTTTATTTACATTCTCTCTTTTCTTTTCCATATCATCAACATCACTTTCATTCAATTCATCAGGGCACACAGGCGGGCGCGATTCTCCCATTTTACCCGGCGACGGTCCAATTTCATCAGTTCATCAGGATCCATATTTATCGACCGTTCCTCAACAAACCCAGTGGACATTTACTAGCTTGCCCACAATTACCCACACCTGGCTGTTAGGTTACGAGGTGACCCTTCATCCCAACTCCCAACGACAAACAAGAGCAAACTAGTATTTACACTCAACACAAAGGTGAATCAAGACAATATGAAGTCGCAATTTAACCATAATTAACATATACTATAATATAGATCTGCCAGTGCACGCGAAGCCTCTTTTTGCCAGCTCAAGTATAAATAAATACAAAGTAGGTAGATCATGATGGAAACATAATGATGATGTGAGGGACAAAAAATCAACTAAGTCCATGGAAAATTATTATAAGAATAGGTGAATGAGTTATGAGAAAACGGGCCAAAAACTGCTGCATTGGAACATATAGATAACCGAGACATCAAGTGCTATTCGCAATGAGAGAATGGCGCGAACGAGCTATATTTAATATTATTATACTCACAACACCATTCCTACTTGGGAACACATTAATAACATGAACGCCCATCGTTTGCCAGAAAATCACATTATATGTGTTTTTTAGTGAAATGTTTTGCGCCAAACAAAGAACAGTTAGGAAAGAATCAATAGAAAACATTATTCGTCTAGTAAATGAAGTCAAAGAAAGTATATAGATATAAAGTTTGAAGTCAACGTGAAGAAATAATACATTCAAACAAAATGAATATGTATCTGAGTTTGGACCGAAGACTTAGAAGCCAATATGGAATAGAAAGATTGAGTCATTACCTAAGTGGTCTGTTCAACTAGTGTAACTCATTAATGAAGCGAGGCCAAGATTCCTCCAAATTACAGTTACATGATGCATAAGTACCAGAATCAAAACCAAGCCCACTCCTGATCAAGAAGAGAATAAAAAAACTCAGAGAAAAACACAAGAAAACACACCCAGTTCTCAGCTTATGTCTGGTCCTGGACGGAGCACATAAGATGGACCGGGTGACTCTAAGCACAAAGTAAAGAATGACGCAAAATTAAATTCTTATTAGATAAGATTATTCTTGACCACTCTAAAAATTTTATTTTTATGTCTAAATTTTTTATTTCTCTATTCTAACTATATATTTATTATTTTCTACCGAAATTTCAGCAGCATCTCCCCCTAAAAATTGAACTAT